TGATTTCATATCTTTCCCAAGGATATTTGTACGTAACTAACTTGACTAGAATTCAAACTCTTCTCTGATTTCTCATTCAGAGCTGCTCTCGATTATGTCACCATGCATCTACTATTATTGATGCATGCATATGGTTGCGGTCAGAATAGTTGCTTAAAATATTCAATTGTGCCTCCTATAGTATGGTGCTTATTAGGGTGTCTCCCTTTTCTTTCAACCACTTTCAACTGTATCCTTCCATAAGGAAAACCTTGCCTTTTTTTTTTTTTTTTTTTATTTGAGCACATTGAATCATGAAACAAAAATTAAAAATATGGAAAATTTTGGTATTTTAGCACATGTGTACTAAATTTTTAATAGAAACCATCATGGTTACTAACTTCATGATGGCATGGATTTTGGTACTGCCTATCCTCTAGTTTGGATGATGGAATCTGTATTTGAAATTTTGCAATATTTGTTAGGATCTAAATTAGCATGAATATAGAAAAGTCTTCAGTGTTAGTTCTGAGTCTTGGAAATGCATTTGAAGAGGCTAGGTTACACAACCTGTTCTGATTTTGCTGTTATTATATACTAGGATGGTTGTGTTTCATTTAAAATAACTAGAAATTATCATTTAATTTTGTCACGTTTGCTGCGAATATAATGCTTATTTAACATGTAAATTGGACATGATACTGTAATAATAGATTCTGTTTGTTTCCAACTTCATTTGTCTCTAGTAGGTCAATTTTGAATAATTTAGTAAAGGTCTGATTTTACAAGATGTTATACATGGAAAAGATTAAATGTCTAGTTTTTAGGAAAAGTGAAGAGTTTAAGAGCTTTTTGTATGATATTAATTGGTAATTTCAACAATGCTTAGATGATAAATAATAATGGTTTAGTTCATTGAAATGTTTTATGTACTTTGAGATGTGTAATATTTAATAAATTATTATAATTATTTTGCACTCTTGATTTGATTTTTAATCAGGATTCAGTTATCATGCTGTAGCTTTTTCTATTTGCTTTGATAAAATCTAGCATAACTACCACAGTACTCACTAAAAAGAAATGATTGGATTATTTACATAAGGATTGGTATTGCCTCAGATCAGAGTAGTATTTGTGAGTGTTACATACATCTTATAAAGTTCTCGGCCTAAAATCTCTTTTTAGCATCCTCTTCTCTCTCTCTCACACACAAGCATGGTGTAACAGGAAGCTTGTCTCACTAGATCAATCATGATTAAAGAGAGAGTTCGATCCTCATTGGGGCTCCATGCTTTCATCATTGTGCTGCATTTAAGCTACACTTAGAAAATGACTATATATATATATATATGTATATATATATGTTTCCTTGTTAGGAAACAAACACAACTTGTCCTTACTTAATTTCTGTTAATTTTTTAATAGTAAGCTTAAAAATTCTATGTTGCTTGTACCATAAATCTAATAACCTGTTACCCCCTCCCCAAATGCTTATCCTTTCTTAAGAGATTGAACAGATATTGCATTCTAATGCAAACAAAATAAAAAAACAAATCACTTCCTTGTCTCCATTCACCAATTTATTTGTAATCATATATACATATTTGCATTTACTTCTATCATTTGTTGATACCTAGTACAGTGCAAACATCTTCAGCCATTTTAAAGTAATATGAATTTAAGTTTGTTTTGTTTTGTTTTTTTTTTTGTTTGTTTTTGTGCTGTCTGCAGATGAAACTTCATTGTCAAGGCTGGAGTCATTTTTGCACACTTTTTTTTTTTTCTTCAAAACAAGTGTTTTGAAGGTGAAGATGCAAGACAACACCCTAAAATATTTTCAACCACCTGAACTTTTGTTTTCTTCTTTCTGTTAAAATGCAAATTCTTTTTTTCTTTTTTTTTTAAAGAAAATCTCCCCCTCCTACTCTTAGGATAAATTCTTACATGGATGGACTTGTTTCCTGGCAATTAAAGTATACAACATCTAGGAAGTTTCCAAAGAAACCAGGATGTAGATAGTGAGGATGCCACTAGAATATGAACCAGCGAGTAATAGCTAAAGAACCAGAAATATTAACAGGCCACATTTCATAAATCCTCTCAAAGTTTCAAGGCACTTGAAGTGTTTCGGGTCGACCCACCTATGGTCACCCTCTAAAGCTGCAGCATAGGAATGTATGGAAACTCATCAGGATATCAAACTCAAAGAAGAGATGGATGGGTATGACTTATCCAAATTGGTGTCCATATATACCTGTAAATATAAATTCAAGAACGTTAACTGTTGCATCAAACAAAAAGTGTTGGAAGGCAAGACTAAATTGTTGAAAAAAATTTATAATCTAAGAATGTAGATATTTGTAATAAGACCAACTTCAGTGATGAGACTAAAAGAGTTGCGTTGTAATAAGTGAGAACTTATCAGAAGGCCTACTGGAAAGCAAAACTAAGCAGATTACTGGAAGAAAACTGGAATCTGGGGATACAAGAAAGTTGGTTAAAATTGGACAAAATACATCTAAGGTGTAATCAGGGCAGTGGAAAACTTTTGCATGGACATTTTTAAGTCTACTCTTGTATCTTCCTGTCTCATTCAGAACCCCTGTTACAGAATATCACAATTACAAATGAATATGGCTTCCACAGTGCCAGTGTTTTATTTGTAGAAAACGTGAGAAATAATCTGGAAATTGAGAAATTTACAATAATGCAAAGACATTTGCACAGTATTCTATTATTATTTAGTCTTAAGTTGTCCAAATTTCCTAAAAGAAGCTTTGTCATTACTAATTTCTGAGTTTTTCTTTCATCTTCTTTTCATGTCGATGGTTGGTTTTACATTTATTCTACAATTGCTAAGCAGTATGAACAAAAGATAAACAATAAGCTTTTATCCCTTTCAGCCAGTTAAGTGTGGTTTTAACAACTTTGAGCAAATGCTTTTCTTGCTGATTTGTATCATAATATTTGAAGTCAATCTTCCAATTTTAAAGTAGCTTCCAATGAGGCTTGAACTCTCATCCTATCTTGTAGGAACCTTGAACAGATTTGGCCCTGGAAGCTTATGGTTAACAATGATATGTTTTGTCATATTGCTGTTTCCCTACTTCAACTCTTCATGCCATATTTTATTTTATTCTCTTTTAAATTGTTTCTCTTCTTTCATTTTTAACTAGTCTTTTTCTCAAGTTTTTATTAGAAAATTCCAGGTTAAAGATCATCTGAATGCTAACTTATTAACTGATAACAGAAATTTGCTGTGGAATCATAAACCTTTGCTTATAAACTTAATCTTGTAAGAATGTATGAATTAAAAATACTAATAAGGGACTGACATTAAAGAAATGAACAAAGTTCATGTTAATGGAATTGTGACTTGAGGTTCAGGTGGCAAATCAAAGAGAATCTAATCAGCAAGCTAATGATTGAATTGGCTGAATCAGATTTATTGAGAATCTGTGCAATTAGTGTTTTATTTTTTTTTTTCCCCCTGAAGCTCTTTTGTTACAACCTATATTTATTTTATTTGTTTTTATTTAATTGGTTTCATATTTTAGGATTAAAACCATATTTTAAGTGAAGTTGAAATCTAAAGTTCTAATATGAATTTACAATAAAGGAGAAATATATAAATTGAAGATTACATACTAATGTTTCTTTTTACTATTTTTGGATGTATGTCTCTCTGATGTAAAATATATCTAATCTGATAGTTGTTAAGTGATCTGAGATATAGTACTGGATAACATAGTATGAACAACAAGGAAAAATCATTGATTTAATTGACCTCTCCTCTCTTTCAACTAGCCCTAAAATAATTTCAGAACCAAGGTAGGTAATGACAAAAGCTAATTTAAAACTTTAAACATTATTCCAGCTGCTATATTATTTATAAGAATTTTTTTTTTTTTTTTTTTACTGAAGTTAGCTGGAAACCCAAGCTTTTCAGTTAAATCCACAAACAAAATTGTCAAACAAAGAAACTACAATATGCATTGCTTAAACAAGTTTCCAGGAAATTGAAATATTGTGAGGTGATTACTTCAAGAATTCTTTGAAGTTGTAGCTAGTAAAATTAAACTGTCTTCATTCTCCCTCTTTGGCTATGTTTTGTTGGCTTGGTTCTTCAGGCTTCTTTGTGCTGGAAAGCCAATAAATACTTTATTGAAGCCTAATAACTAGAGATTTGCCCTCCGAACAATACCTACTCATTGTATTCAAGAGATAGGGCCAAGGGCACTCCCTGATATCTGTGTCAAAGACTGAGAGAACAGGACAATTTCTGGATGGTCCACCATAAAATTGACCTTGGGTTATTTGCTATATGGGGTGAGTATATGGTCTTTTGCATCAAAAACATTTGTCACATTCTACCGTTGCGAGGTTTAAAGGCCTCATGTATTACCTTATTATAAAGTTGTCAAATGCCATAAATTTAAACAGAAATTGGTTTTCTGATTTTTCTTAATTCATAATTGTACAACTTTTAATAATAATAATAAATGAGATGACAATTCTTGTGGTATAAAGTTTCATTTTTTTTATGTACTTTGTTTAATAATATAATAGCAGGAAAGATATTATCTTTTCTACTATTATTGTAATCAGAGAATCAAATGTCAGAATTAGAAAATTCCTCTACATTTGTTTGTGTACAGATAATTCTATTTTTTTTTTTTAAATCCAGAAAATTATTTAAATGAAGCACTTAAGCAAGTTCAATTTTGTGTCTGTGTTCAAGACTATCGCCTTCTGCTACAATATATTAAATTTATGAAATAATTTGTCTACAGATAATGAATGTTAGTAAGTTAGTGACACAGATCATTATTACTATTGTTAAATTAATCTCAAGTGAGTACCTCATACTTGTAGCCTTTTTCTAGACTAAGCTCATCTTAGTAAATATAGATAACAAATTTTTTGTTTTTAAAGCATTTAAAAAAATTTTGCTTATAATTTTTCTTAAGTGTGCTTACATTTTTTTTCAATTTTGTATGTCTTCATATTGTATATTCCAGATGTCAATCGAGCAATTGAATTACTGGATATTTTGCAGAAGAGTGAGTACATTTTTCCCTTTTCTCTGTAATAACTTGAAAAATGATAAAACATTAATTGATTGTTGTAACAACAACTGCCTATGCAATTTTTAATTTCTCTGTAAGGGGCTATAAAATTTTTCAAAAATGTTGAGACATTAATTAAAACCAAAGTATAATGAATGTGCAAAAGATTCCACTACCCTCAAACTATACATTTAATACAGTTGAAATACTTCAAGATATTGCTACATTTTAAAAACAAAAAGTAATGCTTGTACTTTAATTTATTAGTAGAAGGCAACATAAGTCCTGTACTCTAAATGTTGTCCTTCATTTAAATATAGGTGATGTTATCACATCAAAAAAGCTTTTTGGTTGATTTCTTATCTGTGGGCAATTTGTCTCCATCATTGGAGAACCTCTACCCTCAAATTATCTTCTTCATCGGTCTCAATTCTGGATTGCTTGTCTGGTCTTTTATGTTGCAAAAGAACATCACTCATCTTCATGTGTGGTCTAGCTTGAATAAGCTTTGCTCGGAATTTTGACAGTGTGCTCAAACAAGTTAAAATTGATAGTGGTATCATTGGATCTCAACTTTAATAACCAGACTATTCTGGTTCCAAATACAGTGACCATCAACTGTGGAGCATGTTGCCTTAAACTTCCAAGTGGAACCATTCCATTGAACTTCTTTTGCTCTGTGGTTCATTGTAGTGAACACAGGTCTAATCTGTGACTATCCTTGCTGTGTGGCTCTAGTAGATCTTTGACAATAGCTACCTTCTGCTCTTTGATGGAGCTTATCAGCATTCTGAGAATTCACTTTTAGATCTTCAAGTAGCAAAGAGACTGCACGAAACAACAGGCATTACTGTGGCTCACCAGAAAGCTTTCACTGTTTTTGCAGTTGTGATTCTTCTGTCATTTTCAGGAAAGCACCAGCCTATTTGGCCATATCCTCATTCACAGCAGCAGTTGGCTTGTCACTAAAGTCAATTTTCTTTAGGATAGGTTTACTATTCATCTTACAGTCTTTCCATAAACATTCACTAAATTTATGTGAATATTTGCAGAGTTTTTCTTTCTAAAAACATGAGAGCTCTTTGCTTTCCATGAGAGTCCAGAGAGACAAAAGAGGATTATGGGTAGCGAAAAAAAAAAAAAAAAAAAAAAAAACAACAACAAAAAACAGTAACTCCACAAAGGTTTCCCTTAGGTTTCTAGACACTTTGTGGTCTAAACTAAAAGACTCAGAGGAATTCTGAATTCTACTTTTAATCATAAATTAGAACAGGCATTACTTTTTGACTGCCCTGTGTATATTTTAGATTTTTACTTTATTTAAAATCATAGTCATTGTGAACTCCATGATCTCGAGAGCTACATCACATGTCCTATGCTAGGGCTACATATGGTTTTGAATTCAGAGTTGTTGTTGTTTTCTTAGACTAGTTGCCAACCATGGCTAGAGAGTCCAGATGGTCCTGCTTGCTATTTACTAATTAGCCTGGTTGAAAAGAAATGGATTTGAACATTTCCCAAGGCTATTTGCACAAAAGTTGATGTAGTGAACTCCGCTGTAATTTGAACTTGGCCAACTTGTTCCTTGTTCAAAGCTGCTAACCATTACACCTCTTGCACATGCATCTATAGGTTAAATAGTGGGGCAAACTGGGCTCTCTAATTGTGGCTTGCAACCAATCTAGGACAACTCTGAATTGAAAACTGTGTAGCCCTGGTAAAGGTCATGTTATGCAGCCAATGAAAACAGCAAGGAGTTCAATGATTATAGAATTCTGACTGCAGTTGATGTGACAAATAGAAAGAATAGATGTTATGCATTTGTGTTGTTGAAAACCATAAATGATGATAGTCACTGGATGCTGAAGGTTAGAGACTATATTGGCTGAAATGTGGTATTGATGATTTGAACATTTATATCTATATGACCCCTGAAATTTAGACATCACTTGGAGAGATGTGGCTATTGAAAAATGTGTTGTTTTTTTTTTGTTTTGTTTTTTTTCTCCTTCTGGTTGCTTCATTCTCTTAATTCTACTCTATAACTTTACAATGACTATCATTGTTTGAGATGGTCATAAATTGAAATTCATCTTTTGTTTGTTCATTCATTCATTTTGTATTAAGTGGTTTACTTTATCTAGGCCAGGAGACCAAAAAATAAAGAAAGTGATATAAAAACAAATTGGCCAATGCTAGAGAATATAGAAAAAAAAAAAATGAACCAGAAAACAAACCCCACAAAACAAAATAACAGTAGTATATATCATTATCAGAACAGTACTGGAGAGCCTTGCTTAAAGAGTCCTGGAGTATCCATGAAACTTATCCTTTAATTTCCAGAGAGAGCTAGCAGTTACTATTGGTGTGAAGACCCAGTGAGTATAAAATAACTATTAATGTCTTAATTGTGTGATATTTTCATCTTAAATAATTTTCTTTTCAGAGGGAGAGATAGCCACTCAGAATATGGCAGCTTTACAGAAAGTTCTGCAGAGTGACTTTTTACAGACTGTAAGAGAAGTCTATGAGCATGTCTATGAGACTGTAGATGTGTCGGGAACTCGTGAAGCTCGAGCTAATGCTACAGCAAAGGTTTGTATAGATTTGTTCTTTTTATTAACCCTTATTATCTTGGGTAATTAGTAGACAGTTGATTCTATAAATTATTGAAACAATAATACCCTCACCCTTGGTATAGGTAAAAGGGTGTTTAATTTTTAAATACAATCCATCTGGCACCCTTGGAATCGGGCCACTGCTGTATCATAGAAAATACCAGAAGGCAGAAACCACCCTATAATAATAATAAAAACACTACGCTCATTTTATTTATATATATATATATATATATATATGTATATATATATATATATATATATATATATGTATATAAGTAAAAGTTTATCACTTAGCTGATTGATGTTACCTTCAGCATCCCAACTTTTTGTGTACCTGTCTGCACAGATGTGCATACATGTAGGGTGATGTGATCATTTGCCCCCCCGAAACTTTACACTTGACCTTTTATCTTTTCTCTTATATTGAAGTGTTATCAAAGGTAGAACAAAAATAAATATAACAATCATTAATGTCTGAAAAAAAAAAATTTTTTTATGCAATACAAAGCTTAAAAAAAAAAGCCTACACCCCCAAATAATATAAATTACTATCCTGATGAGTAAATATGCAACTGTATATAAGAAATGATCATCACTGACATATTCTGTAATGACTTCCACTGTACTGAAGATAGTGTAATTTAATTTTCCCATCTTGATAACCGATTCTAGTTTTACCTAGATTCACAAGGTTGTAATATTTATGCTTCCTGCTGGCAGATTTAGAGAGCACTTAGTCAATAGCATCTTGGCATTTACAATAAATAAGAGACTGGTGGTACCCATATTAGAAACATTGTTCACTTTGATATTTTTTAAAGTATAGTGAATTGGATAATGATAAAAATAGTTTGTAGGAACATCATGGGGAGAAATTGACATTTAAACTAAAAGTGTGTGCATGTGCGCGTGAGGTGGGTGTTTTCAGTTCTAAGTGATTAAAAATGAAACAGTAATACATATCTATAAAATTAGTTCTCCCCACAGTCTGGGATCATTTGATTCAATGACAATAGCATAAAATTAGGTACCTCCATGTGATCTCTTTAAAAAAAAAAAAAAGCATAGCATAATGAAAAAGATGCCAAATTTGACAAAGACAAAATTTTATCGTCTAAATGCTTATATTATAATTAAGAGGAAAGACCAAAATTTTAATTATTTTTCAAAATTTTTTCTTTTTAGAACATTCTAAATTTTGATTAAAGAAACCTTGTTTCTCTTTGTATCACCGGAACTAGTAAAATAACATAAAATTTTTAGCATGTTTTTTTTGTGTGACATACATTAATTTGGAAAATCTTGCAAAAATAAAAAAATAATTGTCGGATGTTAATAAAACTTTCAGAAACTATTCACAGATGATCGAAATTATTATAAATGTTTTTTTTTTTTTGTCTTTTTTTTTTTTATATTTATTACCCCACCCATAACTAATTTTATGAAACTGAGAAATTCGATCATGTCAGGTTAAGTAATTACAATACTTAAAAGCACAAGGCTTTGAGAAATGCAAATCATTTTTTATTTTTTTTTATTTTTAAATTGAACCAAACCTGAAAATTAGCTCTGGATTGTAACATACAAAACTTGATAAAACAAAGATATTATTTAATTTCAAATGCTTTTATTTGAATTTTTTATGAATATTTCTGGGGAAAATTTTTGATGAAAAATTTTTTTAATACAAAATTTGAATTTTTTAATTATAATAGATTTTTACATTTAAGTTGTTAAAACATAAAATTAGTTAAAAGCCACATCGGGTTTCTCAAGTGTCCTTATGAGATAGATATTTTTTTTTTTTTTTTTAGTGCGTTGTAAATTGTATCATTTTGACTAATCAGAAAACCCGCAGTAATTAAGAAATGTAATTTTGGGCTGTAATTATAAAGTATGGAAGACCAACCAGAATACAATTTTCTCCGTTGTTAAGGCCTTTACTTTTGCAAAACACGTGTGGAGAAGTTAATTTGATTTTTCAATTTCAACTGAGAAGGGTACCTACAAGTATCATCTTATGAAATTTATATGATCTTACTTTTATATTAATCTCAGTTATGACATTTTTCCATAAATGAAATATCAAAATTAATAATAAAATGAATGGAAATACAAACAACACAGTAAAATGTAATAAATGTACATAAAATATTTCTTTACAATGCTTTATGGAAAATATATTATAAACGTAAAGGTGAGAGCTAAAAAAAATTCCTTAAAAATAACAAGGTAAATAATTTGTTCACTTAAATGTAAATAATTTCACTTTTTTCCTTCCATAGAAAAAATTATCCTCATGGAGTCCGTCAATGTCATTCATGACCTGCTTTGTTTTATTTTCAAATTACATTTTTTCAGCGCAGAAGCTAAATTAAGCTTAGTTCAAAATATTTTAAATAAACATTATAATTTCTGATTTTCTTAAAATAAGTTTTGAAAAAATGATACTTGATATTTAAAAGAATTTCAAAGGGAGGTTTTCAGTTTTTTTTTTTTATATAAAATGGAAAAAAATGATCAATTTTGCTAAAAAAAAAAAAACCCCCAAAATACTTTGATGTTTCCTCTTAATAATAACAAAAATTCAGACGATAAAATGTTATTGTCAAGTTTGGCATGTTTTTGGTTTTTAGTGATCTCGTGGAGGTACCTATCTTAACTTCTTAACTATATCATTTCTATTGGATTTTCAGTGAGGGAGAAATGAAGAAAACTCACTTAGAAATTGTAATTGACCATTATTTCAGACCTAATATACATGTAAGGGGTTTGTGTCATTGGTGTCAACCAGTTTCAGATAGCTTTTAATGTTAATACAGTACAGTAGTGGACTGAACAGCAAATGTATAAAGTAAATTTTATTTATTTTGAAGAAAGAGAATAGCATATTAACTAATGCTTTATGGTAGGAATTCAAGGAAGTGACAAAATAATAAGTATATATTTTTGAATGTATTTGTTTTGTCTGTCATTTTTGTGTAAATGAAATGCAAAAATATTTGTATTTCTTTTCCTATATTTAAAATTAGGCGACAGTGGCTGCTTTTGCTGCTAGTGAAGGACATGCCCATCCACGTGTTATTGAGCTGCCCAAGACTGAAGAAGGTTTAGGATTCAATGTAATGGGAGGTCGGGAGCAGAACTCCCCTATCTACATATCTCGTATCATTCCAGATGGTGTGGCTGCTAAAGAAGGCGGTCTCAAGAGAGGTGATCAACTGCTTTCAGTTAATGGAGAGGTAAATAATTTTATTCAGCACTCATAAATTGCACAATTAGCTATGGAATATGATGTTATTTTAATATCTTTAGAAATTCCACTATTGGATTGTTAAAATATGGATGCTGGTCATTATCCTTATCTTAAGTGGGTAGAAAAGATTTGAAATTGACAACTGTTAAACACTAGACTTGTTTCATTTATTAACTGAAATTCCAGTGTAATAAAGATTTCCCTTAAAAATTATATTTTTAATAGTTTCTCAGTAGTATGCCGATCATCAACAAATATCTTTTTTGATGTAAAATAATAATAATATTATTATTAATAATAATAATATTATATTCTTTTTTTACCCTTTAGAGTGTTGAGGGAGAAAATCATGAAAAGGCTGTGGAATTGTTGAAAAATGCTGTCGGTAAGTGATAATTACTTATTGTATATCAAATGCCACCCACACTTTAATAGTATTCCTTATTATTATTGTTGTATATATTTTTGATGATGGTTACTACTGAAAACTTTTAAAATTATATTTATAATTAATAATATTTTCTTTTACTGTTTAGAGTGTTGAGGGAGAAAATCATGAAAAAGGCTGTGGAATTGTTGAAAATGCGATACACCCACCTTTCAAATTGTTGTATAATTTTTAATGTTCTCCCCCTTTCTAATTGGTAGGTCCGCTTTGGTTGTATGGTTCTCGAGGAAATGGAGGCACGGTTTGACAAACAACGTTCAGCAAGAAGAAGGGCTTCTCCTTGAATCATACATTTCCAAAACTCTCCCCTTTTCATTTGGGTCATAGTTTTTCGTTAAAAAGAAAAAAAATACTATTTGTATATGTTTGCATAACCTGGGAGCAAAGCCGACTTTTATAAGGATATACATTTTTTTTTTTTTCTCGGCAACTTTTCTAGAAATTTCAAGTAACATGATGTACACATTACTCTTCCATTTTCATCTGTATATATTTGTTACTTAGTGGTTAAATAAATTAAATCTGCCAGAATTCACTTGTCACATTTTATTTTTGTTTTTAATACCTATGCTCTATTTAATCTATAAAATTTAAAAACAAGAACCAAGAAAAAAAAAAAAAATAATGATCTTAGTTTTATTGCTGGAAAAATATTAAAATCCTTCCCAAGCAGGAGGTGCTGGATAAAGCCAACAATTGCCATCATAATCAGCACTTGAATAATGGAGTATGAAGAGCAGTTTCATGTCTGGAAGTGGAAATATTACAAAGACATTGATAAATTCTTTATAATGCAGAGCACATTTTCTATGAAATGGGTAACTCTTGAAATTTTTTTTTTTGTAAAAAATTAATTTCATTCATTTCTGAATAAGTCCTAAAAGTTCCATTAAAATCCAACAATTATTTGATTTTTGCAAGAATTACCTATTTAACGTGTATTTTCCTTGGAAAAGCACAAAATAAAACAAACCTTTTTCTCTATTAATGTGCAGTCGTAAAAACAAAAAAAAACAAACAATTTTTAACCAAAATTTTCTACGTGCTACAAAAGAGTAAAAAATTTCAAAAAATAATACTTTGGTCTTTCCTCTTCATAACAAACATATTGAGACAAAACATCGTGATATACTGCTTTTTTACATGACCTAGTGGAGGTACCTACACTAGAGTAATGACAACATTTATCTAATAATCATTCTTAATATCACTTGCCTTTCATAGGCCATTAATAAACAGCATATTTTGGTTTTCCCAAAGGAAACAATTTAACTTGAAATGTTAAAGCAACTATTAAGCTAAATACTACACTTTTTCAATTTGACTATAAACCAACAATTTCATCTTATAAATATGACATCTTTTATAAAATAAAAGAATTTTTCCCCCTCCTGGACAGAATTCTCTTTATATTAAAATACTTCCAACATGCTACAAGGAAATTACATTATGTATTAGTATAAAACAGATGCAGATTGGAGAGACTTGATGGATCTTTAGGAGAAAGAAGGACAATAGCAACTCAATGGGTGAAGAAATGTTTTCAAGGAGGTCATCCATTTACCAGGCAAAAATGAATTGCAAAGCTAATTCTAATTTTGACATTTCAACAGTTAACAGAGAAGACCTTTGAAATATTCAATAAATATCTTTCTAAAATATCCACCTGCAAACACCAGGATATTTTATTATACATGATGACATATTCATTAAAAACCAGAAGCCACCAAACATCAGATGAATGTTTTTTAATTCTATATAAGTAGGAATCAATACACCAAAACTATGAAAAGAATCCTTCAACAGGAATCTGAGAAAGAATATTATCACACTCTGATAGAGAATATGAATGGGATTTGATAGCATGTAAGAAAATTTGGGTTATGGAAGATGGCATACAAACCATAAGTTCTTAAATATGTATATATTTTATCAATCGCGTTGGAATTAAAAGATGTGAAATTTAAATCTGTTGTCTTTCATTGTTGTTATTTATTATAAAAATCTTGTTTCAAGAATATTAAGTATGGATTACACGATTGTCCAAATTAATTAAAACAAAACAAATAATTCTGTTATTTTTTTGTATGTCCATTCCACAAAGTCATTCCAGGAAGTTTGACCACAGATTCTCAATTACATTTAAATCAGGAGAGTTTCCAGGCCAGTCTATAGTACTTTGATTTGCTCATTGGTAAGGCTTGCCAGTATTAGTGCAGTGTTACAATTTTCATACAATTCCTTGGAGTAATGTCCATCGCAGACAATAGTGTTTGGGCATGACGAAAACCTGATGCAATATTTTTTCAATGATGAACAAATTTCATCATACACCCCAAAAATAGATTCACACCATTGCAAGTGACCTAATCTGAGAAAGAATACAAATAGATTACACCCTGTCACTGACTGTATGGTGAAAGAAAGGAAACTAAATTTGCACAAGGGTGTATATTTCAGTTAATATTGTGTCCAGAAAAAAAAAAAGTGACCCTCAAGAAGTATTTCTACCCCACTCTATACTCTTCTTAAGTCCTTTTCCCATGGGACTTGGTTCACATATGCCTGATACTATTATGACACTGAGGGACAAATTAATATTTAAAATTAATGATGTTCCTTTTTAAATAATTTGCTTTTAATAAAAATTGACTATAATTTAATATAAATATTTGAATTACAAATAATGAAAGCAACATTAATATATTCCTTTAACACCATTTGGAATAATTATTTGCATCCCAATCACGGCAATAAAGCCACTAAGATGCAAGGGGGTTACTGAGAGTAAGAAAAAGAACAGGAATTAAGAAGGCAGATGACGATTGACACTGATCTTTAGAAATTCAAATGCAAAGTTGACTGAAAAGCAAGATGGAACAGAGTTCCACAAGTGATACAACTGTTATATCTAGTCATTTAAGCTGTAAAATGAGGAGACCTTACTGCCAATCTAGCACTGCACTTAAATTCATAAAATCTAAATACTAAAAAGGAAAGCTCATCAAAACAATCGTGAAAATATTTATAGAAAAGGCACAGGGAATCTGTTAGAACAATGTTAAAGTGACTGAAGCCAAGATATCAGGATCAATAACATTGATGTAGTTTATTGTCTTACCCAGGATGCAGCCAGCAAGGCCTCTGATCAGGAGGTTTTGAGGAGCATCGAACAACCTCTTAATTTCTGGTGTTCCCAGGTCCACCCTGACTTGGGGTAGTAGCACCTGTCAGTGTTCCAGATATGGGACTCCCCAAAGGGGTCAAAACACTATGAAAGTATAAAAATAGGTTTTATTACCAGCAAATAATAAAAAAAAAAATTTTGAAAAAAATATTACCAACAATACATTTTCGGAAAACAAAAATGTTACCAGCAATAAAAATCTCAGTGGCATTAAATAACCCACTGAGTTGTTGATATGTCATAAAACAAACCAAAAACATTGCAGATGCATCATTGGATTTTATCAGTAATCTCTACATACATAGCAGAAGCATCAGACCAGATGCGACAGCAATATTCAATGCATAGATGAATGGTAAATTTTACCACAGTGAACTAACTTCATTAGCAATTGAGTGAATAATCTTTCCACTTCATGTCAGCGGAAAATATTTGCCAGACAAAGTGCAAGGAGTCACTCTTCTGAAGATTAGCATCAGCTATGCTGATGGAAGGCAAAAAAAAAAAAAAAAAAAAAAGAAAAGTTCTCTGAGACAATTAAAACAGAGGTTTCATTTTGAACGTTAGATTTCTTGCCCCAGTTAACAACAGATTGTAGGTCATTTTTGAGATCAGCTGCCAATTTGACCTTATTGAACTGATCAAACTTACCATTAAAACAGGAGTAATTAGTTATATCATTAGCATAGAGAGCTGATGACATCAGGCAGGTTGTTGATCAAAACAACATAGGTCCAAGGGTAGAGATTACCTGCATTAATGCAAAAAGATCTAGATGAGTGACCATTAGAGGCAACTTTCATTTTACAATTTGATAAGAAATCAGATCAAAAATTTGTCTATATTTCCGAGATGAGGTATTATGTACATTTACGTTATTCGGACTATTGTCCTCATCTTTGTTGCCATATTTATCACATTTTGGGCATTGTATGCTCCGGCCTTCTTCAGGTGGTTGGAATGTCAAAGTGAACCCTTTATTTCGCTCACTGGGGTAGACTGTTCTAGTTCCACTTGCCATGTTTAATGCATGTCAGTTATCAGTTATCTCGTGTTAATTTCCCTTTGAAACATCTCCACTGCCTCTTTGGGTCCTGCCACTGGATCTAACCAACGCCTTTATCTACTGTACCATGTGTTCTTGAGATGTATGAATTTCTTGGTATTATAAACCTCAGCAACCATTTTTACCAGTACTCATATTGCAATTTTTGCTGTTATCATATCATATTTTTACCAGAGCTCATATTGCAACTTTTCTTATTATTGCTTTTCTCTGGTTCCCATATTGTATTAATTTCTATGCTTGGTCGGCTCAGGAGATTTTTGTGGCCTAGCATATGTGCTGATTCCTTAAGTTTATGAATTTTCCAATGGTGTTCCTTGTCTATGATCTCAACCTGATCCCACAAAGGGTGGTGATCTCCCTTCTCTCTCCATATGTGGTCAGCCACACCTGATTTTTCCAATTCCCCTGGTGTTCTTGAAGCCTTACCTTCAGCGGGCAGCCTGTCTCCCCTTTATATTTCTTTCCGCAGCTGCATTGGATAGCGTACACACAGTCTTTAGTCATGTTCACCTCTATGGAGGGGGTCTTACTTGGGAGAGATATCTGAAGTGTCGTCAAGCTTTTGAAGGTTGTCCTGATGTTACATGAACCGCAGATCCTTTGTATTTTCTGATAACCCCTTCACATAAGACAGGCAGACTGTTTTCTGAGTGTTGTTGTCTTCCTCTTGTACCCACCTATCCCAATTTTTGGGGGCTGCTGCCATGTACCCAGGGTAGTTGTTATGTTGTAGGGTACTACTTATACTGATCAATTCTTTATCTAAGGACACATGGCACAGTGGATAAAGGCGTTGGTTACATCCAGTGACAGCACCCAAAGAGTGTGACTTCAATACCTGCTTAAGGCAGTGGAGAAGTTTCAGAGGGAAATTAACAGGAGATAACTGATAACTGACATCCATTAAACATGGCAAGTG